TATGGAACAATCATAATCATTGAGGAAAACTGATTACCTGTCATTAGCCAGTTTAACTTATTCAAAGTCTGTGTTATTTCTTACTAAATAAGTGAAAATAAAAGAAGCTTCTYATTAATCYAAAGGCAGASTCAAAAAAATTGGGCCAAATATATTCTAAATATTTRRAACTAATATATTAAATATTTTAGAAAATTAAAGTCATTTAAGAAATTATAGYCAGTTTAGTTTTCAGTCTTCACTGTATAGTGCTGAAGGTGAAGATGGATAAAGAGTTGGATTTTTTCAGAAATAGTAATTTTACCCTTAGGGAAATTTGGCTAGCTCTTTGAGCAGGAAGCTCAGCATTTTTTGGTAGAGAGCATTGCTTTTGTTGAATTGTACAGTTATAAAAACATTACTTTTTGTTGAATTGAATAGGTGTAAAGGGAATAAATGTATGCAGGTTCGAAAAGGAAATATGCTTTAGGCAAGAGTCATAAGATGCCCTTATACCTGATGGCATTTTTTCCATTGGAAATAAACCTCAGCTCTTACATTCTGCCTAGTTGTGCACAACCCCAAAGGATGAGATTATTTTGTCATGGGATTTTTATTGTCATTTTATTTTGTTTTACCAGCTCAGTCGGTGGAACCCTGACTTTGGTCTCTAATGAGACAAAGTTAGAAATCTGCTGATAACCTAAAATAATTTAGAAATGTGTTAAAAATATGAAGTAAGGGATTAAAGTGATGAAGTCAAAATAGCATGTGGGAAACAAGCTCTTTACATCATGCTTGTCTACCATTTCCTCAGGTATGGCCTGCTTTGGGAGAGCCTCTTGTTTTCTTCTCTTTGGGGACTGTCTTCCTTTCTTAAAATTTTTGTAACAATGTATTTGGCATTTGATTCACATACTTTGTAATTCACCCATTTAAATGGTGTAACTCCATGATTTTTATATTCACAATGTTGTGTGCCCATGATCAGACAAATTTAGGGCATTTAATCACACTGAAAGAAACCCTGTACCCTTTGGCAGTCATCTCCTATTTTTTCCCAGTGGTCCCCAGCCCTAGGCAACCACCAGTCCATTTTCTATATACCTATTTTAATCATTTAATATAAATTCATTCATACAATATCTAGTCTTTTGTGATTGGCTTCCCCAAAATGGTTTTCTCTGGCATGAAAAAGTTGTTCTCATCTTGAAAACTCTTATTGTAGGAAAAGAAAGTGACTGGTAAATCAATGAATTTAAGGAGGGAGGGCCAGATACCTCACAGGTTTCTCAGTTAATCTTATGCTCCGTTTAATCTTATGCTGAATAGCCAATCATTCATTGTATACTATTGCTTATAATATTTTGGCTAGTTTGTAGAATGGACATTGAAATCTATCTTTGCTGGCCCAGTCAGAAAAGTCCTGCTAAAAATGATGCCAAATAATTTGGCAAATAATTGACATAGCACTTTTCAGGTGACTGTCTTTGTCAGCACCTCATATACCTTGGGCCAGGTGAGCTCCCCAAATCTCTTTTAAAATTTATTCCAGTGAATTTCTGCTGTCTTTTAAAAAGTATGTACCATAGGACTAAATGTGATTTGAGTGCATTATAACAATGCTAAATGTATTAAATGGAATTTTATTTACATTACTATGAGATAGTTAATTATTGCCTAAAGTAGTTCAAAACTACAGTGATGAGAGTTAATTAGTCCTTCAGTTGACTATGATTTCAATGACAATTCAGAAATGTGAGAAGTGCGCACCAATCAAAGTTCTCTAGAATACAGGAAGACTCAATAACCAGGGAACCAGCCAATACTATGGGCTAATGGCCCAATGGCAGAAAATGGAGATTGGTGAATTAGAGACTATTATGTTCTGTAACTCCCTAATAATTGTTCCCAAGCATCGTGGCTTATTTTTGAGTGGCATGACAGCATCTTCCTGGTTATATGTGGCCTATTTCCATGATGTATTGAGTAGTGTTGTTTGTTGTGAGCATCGATGCCTGTAACACCAAGCTAAACACGTTTTGAATATGTTTTCTCTCTTTAAATGACCTTGCCCTGTCCAATAAATAAATGATTGTCTTGCCTTGTTTTTGGTGGTGTTTTTTTGTTTGTTTGTTTGTTTTTAACTTTTTTTTAAATCTCATTTCCTCTGCTTCACTATCCCCAGAAAAATTTAAGAGTGTATTTCATGACTGTATTTTTTCTAGCATGATCCTGTTTACTAAGTTCCATAGGTACTTTAATTGTACATGTAAAGTCTTATTGCAGTTTTGTTTTTATAGTCAAAATAGAATGCATAACTTCATTTATATTTGTATGTCATCAAATGCCCTTTGGGGTATAAGAATTGGTCCTTGAGTGGCAGTATCCAATCACAAATGTTTATTTTTCAAGATGAACTTTAGATACTTTAGATATCATTTTGTCCATATCTAAAATTTGCCTTAAACTTTATTTTGAAAATTGCAAACCTACAGAAATGTGAAAGAATAACATGATGAATGAACATTTCATTTAGATTCATCATTCATATAGATTCACTATTCCTAAACATTTTGTCACTGATGCTTTTGCTTTTTCCAAATGTTTTTCCTTCCCCTGCCTCAATCATTTGAGATAAATTGTAGGATTTTGTCATCCCATTTTACAACATCCTTACATGTGTCAGTGTGCCTCTCTTACAAGAGTGAGGATATTCTCCCATTTAACCATAATACCATACTAAATAATACCATGACCTAAAAAAACGCAATATTATTTCATATTTAAATTTCTGTATGTATCCCCAAAATAGATTTTTTAGCTACTTTGAAAAGGTTCACAAATTATATTGATCAGTGTGTCTATCTTCAATAATAGTTCCTTTTTTTTTCCCTTTTACAGTACTGGGAATTAAATCCATGGCCTTACACATGCTAGGCAGGCAAGTATTCTACCACTAAGCTACATCCCCAACCCTTTTAAATTTATTTGGAGATAGAGTCCCACTAAGTTGCCCAGGTAGGCCTCAAAACTTAGAGTCCTTCTGCTGCAAACTCCAAAGTAGCTGAAATTACAAGTGGGTACCACTCACTGTACCAGCTTCTTCTACCTCTTAAAAAATATTTTCTAAATAAGTTTTATTAGAACTGATTTAGACTTACAAAAAACTAGAGAGGGTTCCTATATATCCTACACTTAGTCTCCCCAGTCACTAGCATATTAACATAAGACATTTTGATAAAATCCTTGGGCCAATCTTAATATGTGTTAGTTAAAATCCATACTTTATTCAGATATTCTTGGGTTTTTCCCTAATGTCCTTTTTGTATCCAGGATACTTCCAGAGTACCACATTACATTAGTCATATTATTCTTAGATTTCTGTCGTTTTTGATTATCTTGACAGTTTTGAAGAATACTGGTCAAATATTTGTAGAATGTTCCTCTACGTGAATTTGTCTGATGTTTTTTTCCCATTATTAGACCAGAATTGTATTTTTTGGAAGAACACCAAGGTAAACGGCCATTCTCATCATATCAAGGGTACATATTATCACAGTTCGCATTAACCTTGGTCAGTTCAGCCAGGTTTCTTCACTGTAAAGTTCCTCTTCTTTCCCCTTTTCCATACTGTACTTTTTGAAAGGAAGATATCATACATAGTCCACACTTAGGGAGTGAAAAGTTATGCTCTTACTCCTTGAGGAGAGAGTACCTATATAACTTATTTGGACTTATTCTACAAAGATATGTTTCTTCTCCATTTAGTAATTTAACCAATTCTTTACTTATATCAGTTTGCATTTGTGGATATTTATACTTTGGGTTATCATGTAATACTACTTTGCATTATTGCTGAAATTGTTCCCGATGCAAACATTGAATGCTCTTTTAGTGGCCTCTTCTGTCCTTTGACATGCCCCCCCCCACCCCCTGCCACTGCCATCATTATGGATTTTGAAATGGGGGGTATTTCCTTACTTTCTGGCACTACTTTCAGGCTCATGTGGTACATTTCCTTCTCCAGTCATTTCTCCAGAGCCCTGAATTAAAGAACGGTATTATAAACTAAGACCTGGCCACTGGATTTCCTCATTGCTACTAGCATGTCATTGCTTCTAGGTCTTTTTCACAGAGAAGGAAATATATATGTACATAATAACCTATGAATTTACAC